AAAAAAAGTACACGTTTGCTTCGTCCTTCTGCACGTGTGTGTGTGTGTGTGTGTGGATGTAGGTGTGTGTGTGTGTGTTTATCTCCACACATGTTCATCTGTGTTGACAAACGTGACGTCTCTAGTTTAGATTTTCAAGGTCCCCACATTCAGCAGCAGTTTCCACTCGTCGTTGTCGAGCTTTGTTTGGTATCGAATCGTCACAGACTCTTTTTCGGAGATCGGTCAGAGTTCTTTAAAAGTTTGTCCCAGCTCTGAGGTTCTTCTGACCCCACTCCTCAGGTGTCACTGGTCCAAACTATATATTTATTCAACACAACCTTCCTGTCGACACTGGTCCTAAAACCGACCTAGCGAGACGTCAGTAGTTGATCCTCTGCGGTCCGATGAATACTCATTTCCTGCCTCGCTCCAGATCTGGTTTGTACTGGTCCTCGGCTCAGGTAGATCTGAGCAGAGCGGACGTTAGCGGTGTGTTCTCACATGTGTGCGTGTGGGCGTGTCTCAGAGAGTACTCCCTAAATTTTAGGTCACAAAGACAAAAGCCATTGACTTAGTCACATAAAAAAAGACTCAGTCGTGCAGCTCAGAAATGTTTGAGTCAAGTCCGAGGGACTAAAGGACACGGTGGACATTTCTGTCAACTTCCTTACTGAGTTTGTTTTTGTTTGTTTTTTTTCAATTTTGAGTCGGGGTGTGAGAAGTTGAGAAGTTTGCTCTAAAATCAGAGACTCGATGGTTGTGACTCAGTTGGACTTGAGTCTGTGATCTGGACTGACTCTGCTGCAGCTCCAACACTTCACTGTGTTCACACTTGGAGGCATGTGGGAACGCCGACCAGACCAGGACAACAAAGGCCAAGGTCTCTTCTTCTCTGACTCAGAAACACACGCGCGCGCACACACACTGATATCCATGACAATGGTGTGTTGCTAAAGTGTCTCCATGGTGAAGCTGGGAATGCAGAGGGGCCCCTGTGTGTGTGTGCGCGCGCGTTTTTGTGCATGTGAGCGGCTGTGTGTGAGGGAGGATCAGGGCAGCTGGGCTCTTTGTTGTCGTGGAGGTGAAGGAGGAGGAGGAGGAGGAGGAGGACGACTGGGTTCTCTGGGGACCTGAAGGTTAAAGCCCTGGGCCCCTAACAGGCTGCTCCCCCCTGTGTGAAACTCCTGTCCTGACTGGCTCAGACCTGTTCACACTCATCATTGATCAGTGTGTTATTAAACCACCAATTAAAGTTGTTATTAAGACGGTTATCAACCAGTACCTCGACTAGATATTTAACCAGTTATTACATCAAATATTAATACATTACATTACATTAAATACATTTTTAAACCTGGTATTAAACTAGTAATAACTTAACTAAACTAGTACTTTTTAACTAGTGGTTCAACTTATTAAAACTATTTTAAACCACCTATTTGTTGTTAAACTGGAAGTTAAATATGTTACTAATGAGTTAATAACCTGTTGTAAAAACAGTTATTGAACTTGTTATCAACTAGTTACTAAACTAGGTAATTAACCAGTTATTGAGCTAGGTATAAAACATGTTTCAAACCAGTTATTAATGACTGAACTAAGCTAAGCTAGTTAAGTTTTAAAACTTTTTATTACCCTGTTCAACCAGTTATTAAACCAGTTTTGTAACCTGATATTTGAGCACTTAGTAAACCAGTTATTGAAAAGTTAATGAGCTAACTAACTTTTAAAGAGACAAACGTGTTTTTTTGTTGTCCCGTGGTCCAAACATCTCTGCATCTCATATTTGTTTGTTTTTGTGTTTCCTGTGCTCTGACACGACTGTCCTTCTCTTCCCCTTCCCTCCTGCCTCCCTCCCTGCTTCCTCCCTCTCTCCCTCTCTCTCTCTCCCTCTCCCTCCTTCCCTCCTTCTCTTCCTTTCAGTGCCCATGGGGGTTTTCCCCCCACCCATACAGCAGGTGTTTCATGCCCCACGCCGGCCAGGAATGGGCACCGTGGGCAAACCTATCAAGCTGCTGGCCAACTACTTTGAGGTGGAGATCCCAAAGATGGACGTCTACCACTATGAGGTGGACATCAAACCTGACAAATGTCCACGCCGAGTCAACAGGTAACAAAGACGGTTAAGTCTGGACAGAAGTGACACAAACATGGTCTTTAAAACAGGTGTCAGAGATGAAACTTCTCTAAGAAACTCAAATATGTTTGGTTTTTTTCCGTCTAGAAACCTGCGTAACGTAAAACCTTTACAGACAAGTTCCACTTCCTGTTTCTGTTAACATCTTTGACTTAGTTTTATGCTTTTCATACAAAGTTTCCAAACCAATCCCTCTACAACTCTCATTTTCTGTAAAGAAAATCCATGATTCCCACTCACAGACCAAAGAATGACAGAAAAAAAAAGGATTTTAATCAGTGAATTATGTAACATAAAAAACCAGACTCTGTTAGTGCCTGATGAGATCACCGGTCTGTCAAGAACAGAATACTAACTTTGACATTGAAATGACTGTGGCTGTTCACTTTAACCTAAATGTTCAAAGTTCGTGTCTTGGCGCCATTTCCTCCTTTGACACTCGGAGCCGGTTCGATCTCGATTTCGTCTTTAATGTTGGAAACAAAGGATTGAAAAAGGCATGCAAAGGTTGTGCCCTTTGACCTTTCTCCTTATTCACCCCCCACACTGATGTGAAGGTTGAGGCACCAAACACCCACAGACCCCCCCCCCCCCCTACCCTCAGCAGCACTCACCAATATACAAGACACA